GTAGTAGAGCAGTAGGAGTAGTAGTAATAGTAGTAGTAGAGCGGTAGGAGTAGTAGTAATAGTCGTAGTAGAGCAGTAGGAGTAGTAGTAGTGGTGGTAGTACATATATATAATTAGTAGTAGAAGTAGTAGAGTACTTTTTACATAATTAGTAGTAGAAGTGGTAGAGTACTTTATATATAATTAGTAGTAGAAGTGGTAGAGTACTTTATATATAATTAGTAGTAGAAGTGGTACAGTAGTAGAAATAATTGTAAGCAAGCAGAGGAAAATAAAAGTATAGTAGTAACAAGGTAGTAGAATTAGTAGTGTAGTAGTACAAATATATTACAAGGTATCAACAAAATTATTGTAATATAGTAGTACTAATGGTAATATCAAACTAGAAATAATAGTGTATAGAAATAGTAGTTAGATTATAAAAATACTAGTTGAAAATATGAATATGCCACAATAATAGTAGCAAAAATAGTATTATAAAATTATAAAGATTATTTAAAATACATGTAGTACTGCAGTAACATGAATAGCAGTAGATATAGTAGCTCAATTATAAGTAATAGGAAATAAGCACATAATAGTAGACGTAAGGTAAATATAATTTATTTTTAATTTATTCAGTAGTAAAAGTAATAGTAACTCCGTAGTAAATCAAATAAAGTAAATAATACAAAACTACATAGATACTTACATATACATATACATATCCAGGCCAACATATCTAAGTTTGTACATATCTACAATAAACTGATATTGGCTAAGCGAGGTAAACCACTGCCAATACCACTTTGGTTCGCATGGACTATCAACACCCATCTGATATATAAGTATAGTATCTGATTTGGGATAACGATCTACAAAGTTGGCCGAATAATTTAAAATTGCGCCCATAAACAAATTGTTTGCTACGTTGTTATTTGTTTTTGTTTCTGTTATTGTTTCTGGTTTCTTCGCCATTTGCTCAGCACGCAATGAAATAAACACTGTGCGAATTATAATTAATGTCCAATGTGAGTAATCGTCGCCTTCAGCCCGAATAAAGCATTCAGACGTTAAAGCTTTCAGCCAAGATTAAGTGCCAAGTCCCATGCCCCAACTGCAGGCCCGCAGCTATGTCAGTCAATCTGAGCAAATCAACATAGAGGCGATGCCTCTACCTCTACCTCTACCTCTACCTCTACCTCTACCTCTACCTCTACCTCTACCTCTACCTCTACCTCTACCTCTACCTCTACCTCTACCTCTACCTCTACCTCTACCTCTACCTCTACCTCTACCTCTACCTCTACCTCTACCTCTACCTCTACCTCTACCTCTACCTCTACCTCTACCTCTACCTCTACCTCTACTTCTACCTCTACCTCTACCTCTACCTCTACCTCTACCTCTACCTCTATCACTACCTCTACCTCTACCTCTACCTCTACCTCTACCTTTACCTTTACCTCTACTTCTACTACCAACTCTACCTCTACCTATTTTCTACCTCTACCTCTAACTCTAATTCTACATCTACATCAGTTGATGATGTACCTTACTTAGCTCTACCTCTATTATATTATATAGCTTACTTAGCTTTACCTCTACTTTTACACCTAGATCTATGGTATTATGTTGCATACTAAGCTTAACCTCTAGGCCTACGTCTCCATCTAACTCTACCTCTTTCTTCTGTTTATTAGATTATATATGGATCACTTTCCATTTTCAGTTAATATTCTAGTATATTCCATATCTATTGCATTAAAGCAATTAAATTTATATTTTTCACATTTTTGCATTGCATTCATGCCACATTTCCAAGCCAATATAGTTCGACTGCTGTTGCAAGATGGAAAACAATAGCTTCAATAAAATGCAAGCTATATTTGTTGGTAATTCCAGACTCATTCTATGTCAATGCTATTGTATTTGTCATTGACAATTGACAGAAGTGTGGTGCTAGAAAGAGAGATGAAAGAAATATATGGAAAGAGAGACAGAGATATGCTGCGGGCTGCACTATAGATATGCTGTTTGTCTGTTCCTGCCTCTGTGTGCGTATGTGTGTGTGTGTGTGTGTGTGTGTGTGTGTGTGTGTGTGTGTGTGTGTGTGTGTGTGNGAATTAAATTTATTTTTAGTATTTTTTTTTATATATGTACATATATACATTTTTTAAAAATATATTTTAAAATGTTCTGATTGGTGTCTTTATAGAGTAACGTCTTTTGGTAGCGTTGCCACTGTTTGAGAATATCAAGGATTTCGATATTTACGATACTTGCATTCCTCGCTAAGCTCGTTTACTTTACAATTAGCCAGAACTACGTTTTCTGATTGCCTAATGTGTAAGACTCGTTTCAGGTTCGCCTAATACCCAGCTGAGGGTGTGGTACTCAAATTTCTGCTGACTAGTTTAACTGAGATCTTGGATTCCGTTTCGTTCTTCAACACGATTTGTACACACAATTCTTTTGTTTGTGAGCGCTATAAAAGTGTTGGTCCGCAACTCTAGGGGCATCAGTAACCGCTTGCTTAGCATCTCTAAACAACCAGCAACTACTACGAGCTCGTCATGGTAAGTCGCCCGCTCAGCGAGTGTGTCCAGTTGCTAATCCCAGCTAATCCATCTGTGTCTGTCGGCAGCGTCCATTTGCCATTTGCTCCGCGCTGCTAGCCCTCGCCGCCCTGGGCGTGGCCACTCCTTTGAGCAACACCTATCTGCCACCACAGGCCAATGCGTATAGCGGCTACAGCTCGGCGGGATCGAGCGGCGTCGGCTCCTATACACCATCGAGCTCCTACTCGTCGAGCTCGCACGGCTCCAGCTATGCAGCGCCATCTCGACAGTATCTGGCACCGGCTGCATCCCTCAGCAGCTACTCGACCGCAGGCGCCAGCAGCTACTCTGCCCCAACCATCTCACACGGCAGCTACAGCTCAACTGGCTCAACCTATGCAGCTCCGTCGCGCCAGTACCTGGCTCCAGCTGTCTCACGCAGCAGCTACTCGGCGCCGGCTGTCTCTCGCAGCAGCTACTCGGCTCCAGCTGTTTCGCATGTGAGCTACTCCGCTCCAACTGTCTCTCGCAATAGCTACTCATCCTCTGCCTCTACATATGCTCCATCCCGGCAGTACCTGGCACCAGCTCAAAGCAGTTACTCCGCTCCAGCAGTCTCCCACAGCAGCTACTCCGCTCCAGCTGTCTCTCGCAGCAGCTACTCCTCCTCTGCCTCTGCTCCATCCCGGCAGTACCTGGCACCAGCTCAAAGCAGCTACTCTGCTCCAGCAGTCTCCCACAGCAGCTACTCATCCTCTGCCTCCACACATGCTCCATCCCGCCAGTACCTGGCGCCAGCCATCTCCCAAAGCAGCTACTCCGCTCCAGCTGTTTCGCATGTGAGCTACTCCGCTCCAGCTGTCTCTCGCAGCAGCTACTCCTCCTCTGCCTCTGCTCCATCCCGGCAGTACCTGGCACCAGCTCAAAGCAGCTACTCTGCTCCAGCAGTCTCCCACAGCAGCTACTCATC